CCCAGCCCTACTGTTCTTAAATCAGCCCCTTAGTAATGACAAAAGGGCCAATAGCAGAAATGTAAAAACTGCTCTGGTCCATAGGTGTGAGAGCTGAACTGGTTAAACAACCAAAACCTGAATAATTTACCGTAAGCCAGCGCCACCTAGTGGTCAAAACCGTTTTAAGATTACCAAGTGATATACAGGTCATTGCCAGCCTGGGTAATTTGCTTAAAAATGGCACATGGCGTAACATGCAAAACGATGGTCCCAATAAACAAGGAGGTTATAAGGGGCGAAGCATGCCAAGACCAGTGGCAATAAAATCCTATAAAACGCAGAAGAGCTGACGTTTATGACTGCAGCCTCGGTGGCCCTATGTGAAAGGTTGAATGTACGCATTTCGTTCATAAAGGGTTATATTGTCCTTCTTGCTGAATCAGAGTCCTCTTGCCCTACATAAGAAGCCAGTACCCAATAGGACAGGGGGATGGAGGAGGAGACAACACACGGATTTTAATCGCTGCAGTTTAACAGGCTGTTTTATGAGCTCATTCACGATTGGACAGCAAGGTCCACCAATCAGCAGCCTGCAGAGACTTGGGCCCTGGCCAGCGCTTTTATGGAATGTTCTGCAGGAGTTCTGAGGATTATTTGTAGCCTGGCCACATCAGGTCTGGAGGCGGAAGGGAGACTAGCATAGCGTATAAAATCATTGTCTACAAATAAATATATCGTGATAAAAGGATAAGATCAATGTATTGTCTACTGTGTTACCATTAGGCCTCATTCACAATGCTGCGCATATTCACGCATACGTGCGTATAGTACCATATGCAACATATGCAAATAAATGGCTCCATACACATAGCCGTGTATGGAGCCATATATTTGCGTACCGTAAAAATGCGCAAAAACAGAATGGAACCGAGATGTGTCCGGGCAGCGTAGTTCTGCGTATTTTACGCGCATACGCATGTTTGCACATGTATACGACCGTAGAAGAAGAAAATAATGTCACCAGCACACCATAATAGTAAATCAATGATCCATTTTAATGGCACATTGCCATCCAATGCAAGCGCTTTCGGGGCCTCAAGGGGTCCCCTTCATCAGGCTCAGAATGACGAGGCCCCGAAAGCGCTTGCATTGGATGGCAATGTGCCATTAAAATGGATCATTGATTTACTATTATGGTGTGCTGGTGACATTATTTTCTTCTTCTGTGGTATACACGGTGCCTTCCGTGGTCACTACAAGCACCCACTCGTTTGGGTTCTTTCCGGTAAGGAGTGCAGCAAGACATCTGGTTCCTAAAGTTTGTATACGAGCGTATGTGCGTACAGTTCATTAAAATTTCCATTAGGAATGATGCATTCTGGGAATGCAAATAGTGCACGCATATACGCTCGTATATATACGCGCATAGATGCGTATATACGCAGTATACAATTTTGCTCTTGCGTTGTGTGTGAATGAGGCCTTAGGCACTGCGGGCCGAAGCCTATAGGCTGCAGAGACAATGGGGCAACTTTCCAGGATAGCCTCATAGTTTATTGCCATCATTTGACGTTTTAGTTTTTTTTTTACATCTAAATTTAAGTCTATTTGTAATTTTTATTATCCCAAACCAGATTAGAACTAGTAAAATGTTCTGTGCAGAGAAAGGGTGATCCGAGAAGGGGGGTCCTATAGCCCCCAAAATGGCCTTTTAGGATTAAAAGTTTCTCTTTTGTCCTTATTAGAGAGAGAAAAAAAAAAATCACCCTGCAATAAGAAGGTTAATGTGGGTGTAAACCCCAATAACTGCTCTTATTTGTTCCATTACGGTGGGTTAGACACCCCCAAAGCATCTAAATCTAATGCAGGCACAAAAATAATTGATTCTGCCAGAAAGCCAAATCAGTGGGCAGGATCTTAGGAGGAGTTATGCAAATATGGGAATCTCTCACTCTGGAGGTGTGGGTGTTCCTGGGCAGGTAGCATTTGCATTCAGACCACCCACACATGTGATGCTGGGCCTCCATGATGGATTGGAAAGAACTGAAATGCAATGAATGGAAGGGGAGGGCCAGGGACAGTCAGGCTGGGTAGGAACGGACTAGATCGGGGTAGGCAGTTCTTGGTGAAATTACAATCCCATCATGCCTCTGCCTTTGGGAGTCATACCTGTAGCGGTCAGAATCTTGCAATGCCTCATGGGGTTTGTAGTTGCACTGCAGCTGGAGGGCCGGATGGGTATCTAACTGGCCACACTTGATGTACAATAGACACCAACTGTGGCCAGCAGCAGAGCTGCCTTGCTGCCTTGGGTCTCACGCTTGCTAAGGACACACATCTGCTGATCCTGAAACCCTCCAGCCATCTCCCCCTCCTGAGACTCTCTGCCCGAGACATCAGGCCGGCACCCCAAAGCAGAGCGGCAGCACAGAGTGAGCTATGTACACGTATGGTGCAGCAAAACTGCATCTGAACTCCACAGCTACTTTAGAAATATTGCCTGTTGTTTCTGTCCTGTGCTTTATTCTGCAGTGCTGTATAATGAATTGCTGGGATTTGTAGTCCTCTATAGCTCATGGTATTATTCTGTATTGCCGCATAATGTATTGTTGGGATTTATAGTCCTCTATGGCTGATGGTATTATTCTGCATTGCTGTATATAGTGTTACTGGGATTTTTAGCCCTCTATAGCTCATGGTACTATTCTTCATTGCTGTATAATGTATTGCTGGGATTTGTAGTCCCCTATAGCTGATGCTATTATTCTGCATTGCTGTATAATCTATTGCTTGGATTTGTAGTCCTCTATAGCTGATGGTATTATCCTGTATTGCTGGGATTTGTAGTCCCCTATAGCTGATGCTATTATTCTGCGTTGCTGTATAATGTATTGCTGGGATTTGTAGTCCTCTATAGCTGATGGTATTATTCTGCATTGCTGGGATTTGTAGTCCTGTATAGCTAATGCTATTATTCTGCATTGCTTTATAATGTATTGATGAGATTAGTAGTCCTCTATAGCTGATGGTATTATTCTGTATTGCTGTATAATGTATTACTGGGATTTGTAGTTCTCTATGGCTAATGCCATTCTGCATTTCTGTATAATGTATTGCTGAGATTTGT